CTCCCTTTAAACAGGAAGAAAACTCCAGCAGAACCAGGCTCAGTGTGAGCGGCCATCTGCTGAGGCTGACTGGGGTTCAAGGAGACAGAAGCAGAGACATAAAAAGCAGCTGTAAAAGGTGACCTGCTCCAGGAAACACACAGCCAGGCAAAAAAGCTCTGAGCCAGCTCCCATTTCAGAGGATGAAGTGAGCACATCCAGCCCGTCACAGTCAGAGAAACAGGACTACACTGAAAAAGAGGCCGATCCCAACATCTATAGATAAAAGGTTTTTGATGGCAGCAGCACAGGTGATATTTTTCTCCAGGATGGAGTCACAGCCAAACAGGAACAGATGAGGCGAAGTTATTATGAAAAAAAGCAGAGAGAGCAGAACGTTAGATATTGAACTAACAGATTCTGCAGAGTGGGAGAATAGAGATAGAATGAAGCAGAATGATGAAAAAAGGGTCCCTAAGTCCTCCAGAAGCAAACATTACTGTATACAGATTTAAAATGATGGGCATTGCTGTCATATTTTAATGGGTACCGGCACATAGTGGAGTTAAAGGAAATAAAATGGCAGCTAAGGCTGCAAAGGGGGCTACAACAAGAGAAGCCAACAATATGTCAGTTAAAATTAGTAAGATGGAAACAAAAAGAGGCTGAAGGAAAGGTGGAAAAAGCAATGGGAAGAAGAGAGGAAAGGACGGTGGTTTTACATGATTTAGAGGAGGGTGGGAGAAATTAGATGTGCAGGAAGGAACAGAACAGAAAAAAACATTTATATCAAGACTTGTGCATACAGGACAGTATTTTATTCAAAATAGGTAAACATAACAACGTTAGGTGTGAATACTTTGAGCAATAAGAGACAATAGAACATGTTATGATACACGGTGAGAAGTATGAAAGAAAAAGGAGGGAAATGGTTCACAATATTAAAAAGGAAAGATAACACTTTGATCCTTTAAAGTGTTATCTTTAAAAAGACCTCATATGGAAGAAAAACAGTATCATTGGAATCTGCCTTTTTTGTACACCAAATTTTAAACACAGATTTTTTTTAAGAACGTATTTTAAACATAGACATTTTTTTGCACCGAATTTTAAATATTGATTTTTTTTTACACATTGAGTTCCTTACATTGATTTTTTATCTGGTGAAAATTCAGCTGCAAAAGATTCAGCTGCAAAAATTCAGCTGCAAAAAATTTGCTTGCAAAAATGTAACTCTTCCAACTTTTCTTTTATAAACTCAAGAGATAAATGTTATGATATTGTTTTTCATGATCTTAGATCAATCAATGTAATTGAGAGAATTTTAATGTTATTTTGGTTTTATTCATGTTTTTTTTGTTGATTTTGTGATATGTTTTGTTCAGTATAAGTAGTAGCCGTCCAGATCTACACTCCAAACCAGTTGGTGGCGGTAGTGCGCCATTTCGTTGCGTGCCAACCGCCAATAAAATCCCACAAAGAAGAAGAATGGCAGCTGCCACAATGAAAGGACCCGTAGTAAGTGATATCTTAAATATATTTACTTCTTGGACTGTATTGTACCCCGTCTTCTCAGAGGAAATAATAAAAAAGCGGAGTTTTGTGACAGTTAGAAGTTAAAATGATCGGTGCTAGCGCCATTTTGCTAAATTTTACATCCTCGTGCAGTGAGCTAGCTAAGCTAGCTTCATTTACTCAGCTACGTTCTGCTGTTTTTGAGTTTCTGCTCTTCAAATATTATAATATTACCGCAAACCAAACAAGAATAGTTTCAGACAACATGGCAGTGAATGAAGGATTTGTCTCACGCCTTTAACGCTTGTTGTCGGTAAACATGCTAACGGAAACTTGTCTGCAGGGGGTGGAAGACGTGGTCGTCACTTTTGAAGATCAACAGAAGATCAATAAATTCGCCAGAAACACAAATCGGATGGTGGAGCTGAAAAATGAAATAGAGACAAAGAAGGTAAGATAGAGGGAAACAAAAAAGCTACAGCAGTGGGATGATAGGGCTGGACTTCATTATCCATCAGATGATGCAGATAAAATGCCTGTGGTCTATAGGATGGGTTATATTAAAGGTTTTATACAAAAAGATTTGCTTTTTTAAGAAAAAAAATGATTCATTTAATAATTTTTCAAGTATTAATAGTTATACAAACATAACATAGGGAATCAAGAGAAAGCTTTACCTAGAGAGATAAGACGTTTTATTTAGTCATTGCCATATTTCTTCAGGTAAAATCATATTTTCTTTGTTTTTTTACATTAAATTTTAATTAAAAAATACCTTAATTATAGTGATCCAATTAAACAAAGTGCTATACTTTGTAGTAAAAGTTCTAGTCAGTGTTATTGGAGGACAGAACATGACCTTAGTACTTTTATAACTTAGTAAAAAAATCATTTTTATTGCTAGAATTTCAAGGCAAATGTTGCCAAAAATATTCACTTGCCCTAATATGGAAAAAAAAAAATGTGATGAATGCTTTGTGAAAAACAGTAAAAAAGAAACTTTTTGTTATAACCGTCAGAACATCAATGCTGATAAATTAACTTTTTTTACTTTTCACTTGACTTCTTAGGTTTTTTTAATGAGCTTTTTATTTACCTTATTAAGTTTTTAGCTTTTTTTTTTATTAACTTAATCTACAGCAGGCAACCTTAGATAACTGATGGCAATGCGCTCACCTCCAAGAAAGAAGTTGATCTTACAGACCATGTTTGACCTCACAATTTTTTCTGAATTAATGAGTGTGTTTTTATATATATATATATATATATCTCCAAGTTATCAAAAATTGTAACTTGGAAAAAATAGGATTAATAATTTGTCTGTTATATCAAATAATTTCAGAATATACTTCATCTTGCAGCATTTATTGACATTTTTATCAGAAACTTGATAAAACTACAAATTACATTTTTGACCTCAAAATAAAAAAAAAAACCTTAACTGCAACACTTATGTCGTCAGATAAACACAGTAACTTTGTTTTAATTAAATGTGATGAATTGAAAGAAATATTTACCTTTTTATGAAGAAGAAACTGAGATATTTTGCTATTTCAAACATATATAGATCACTTACATGAAGCATTCATACAGGAAGCGAAAACTCATTTAAAATAATTTTTTTGTAGGTAGTGTTCAGTCTTCCTAAAAGGTGGGGGTGCTGCTAAATGTAGTCAGCAGTTAAATCAGCCCTCAGAGTTTTGGACTTTTTATATCTGTGCAGAAAGCTCTGCAGAACCTGCAGGACGCCAGCGATGATCTCATGATGCTGGATGATGAGTCCTTGTTCATCCCTTACCAGATTGGGGGGGTCTTCATCGGTCACTCCCAGGAAGAAACTCAGGAAATGCTAGAAGCTGCAAAGGTTGGTGTTGCTCTGTTCCTCTCTACCTTTTTCTTCTCTGTGCATCAAACCTGGAATAGACTCTGAAACCTCATCTGCTCCAGAAATCAAAACACCATCACTCCAAACAAAAAACACAAGCTCATTAAATGAATCGATTATTTAGCCCTCATCTGTTAGACTAATATCAAAAGTGATGATATCTCCTAGAGCTGCAACTAACAAGTATTTTGCATATCAATTAATCTGTCGATTATGTTTTTGATTATTCGATTGATTATCGGATAGCCAAATCTTCCTTAAAGAAGAGATAAACCAGGTGAAACTAAAACGTTTCCACTTTAGGAGTTCTGGATAGAGCATATTGACAGAAAAAAAAAGATTTTTATCTTAAATGCAAAAGATTTACTGCTTTAAGTGGGTCGCTCTATCAGCTAAAGGCATGTTTTACCGTCTCTATGCTCCAGTTAACGATTAATCGATTACTAGGGTAGTTTACGATTATTTCAATAATCGATTTATCCGATTAATTGTTTCAGCCCTAGTATCCACCTTTAAATGAACCCATATAAGTAAACCTCTAGTGTAAAGAATTAAGCTTCTTCAATTTGTGCTTTAAAGGCTTTACTTTGTTTATGTTCAAAAATCTAGGTTTCCCTCAAGAACTGGAATAAAATCTGACAAAATATAAAGAAGCAAAAATAAAATTGGCTTGAAATAAATGTAAAGTTACAGTTAGCATATTTTATTAAAGGGATATTGTTCTTAGTTTTAATGTTACTACACAACCTTTTGATTAATGCAGAATTCTGTAGGTCTCCTGACAGTCCAGTCAGCGGCCCAGCAGAACCAAATTAGGCAACGACCCCGAGTTTGCGTCAACTCGGTTCTTTGTTTGGATTCGCCTGTTTTATGGTGGAAGTTTAGAATTGTGAGATTTGCAGAGAAAGGATGAGTCGGCGGGGTTTTAACTGCTCTTTACGTTTATGTTACTATCCTGAAGCCAAACAAATAGAAGGGGGATATTAAGCTCACTATAGTGAACAGCGCAGCCTTGGCAATTTGTGTAATTTTCTGCTGAGGGTTGTATAAAGAAAGGGCGACGACGTATTTGGAAAAAGGACGTGGCTGCTGTGGTTCGTCAATTTTGCAGACTGAGCTGCATTTCACTCGTTGCATCCCCGCCACGCTGCTGTGTTTACATCTGAGAGGAGGAACAAAAAGAAGAATCCTTCTTTGCTCATGCGGCCTGAGCGATATGTCCACGACACGTTTGATTTTCTCCCAACCTCACAAATCCTGATCGGGAGGCAGTCGTGTGAAGCTGATTGCCGCTCGTAACCCCCCTGTAAAATACACGACTCACAATCAGGCTGAAAGTCGGCCCGATCGAAAAGTACTCGCATGACTGGAAAATCAGCCCGTAAATTACAGTGTACGCCGGGCTAAACTCGGTTTTGCATTCTATGACCCCTTTAAGTGAAAACAAAAGTCATTTTCTTTTAATGAGTTGTAACTAGGCCTCAATAAATCAATTAATCGCATGATAACTAAAAACTATCCAGGTCATTTCATTTATCGGCTATATCGTCTCTGCCTGTGTTTTGCTCTTTCTATTGATGACGCTGGATGAAAAGGCTTAACTCCGGTTCTATCCACTGACCCCTCCCCTTCCTCAGAGTGGACTATCGTATCAGGTAGTCAGCGCGCATCATTTTGTACTTCTGCAGCTTTAGAGCCCCGTGAGGAGTTGGCGAGGTAAAAACAAAAATGGAACTGGTTTCAAAGCCGAGCGCAACAGCCGCAGTGTGGGAGTATTTCGGATTCAAACCACATGACCGAGGCAAACCGCTGGACCCATGCGAGACAGTATGTCGCATTTGTCATAAAACAGTAGCAACTAAGGGCAGCAATACAACCAACCTACACATGCAGCTAAAGCACAACCAAGAGCAAGCAAAGTTTCTGCAGCTGGGGACAAAAAGTACAAGTGGTGTCCTGTCTGCGTCTTCAAGTTTACGACACTCCACCATCACTGAAGAAATTAATCGACAGGCAGCATATAAAAAGGACGGCGCAAAGTGGCGCACGCTCACAGACAGCGTATCTCATTTAATTGCTAAAGAGATGCTTCCATTTAATATTGTTGAAAAGGCGGCATTTTGAAAAATGTTGCAGACATTTGATAGACAGTATGAACTCCCCAGGAAAACATACATATCACAAACGTGATATTTTGTATATACGTTTTTATTTCCACTGTGGTTTTATCTTATGTTTAGTTTTTATTCAAGTGTATTTTTAGTTAACAGAGACTGAGACTCCATTTAATTTTTATTTCTCGTTTTATTTTGTTAACCAGTTCCAGTGTTAAGGTTTCTTTTGAAAATAAAGTGTGTTTATCTTTGGTGGGAAAATGCATGCATTATTACGTCATTTCCATTAAATCAGTGTAAAAAGGTCTTCAAACAATATTATCGTTTATCGCAATAATTTTTGAGAAAATTAATCTTTCAGCTAAATTTGTTATCGTGACAGGCCTAGTTGTAACTTGATGCTGGCTTGAATCACAGAAACCTCATTCTTTTATTACAGTCATTCAAAAAACGCCACATCTGATGTTTTTTGTCTTCTGTTACCAGGAAGCCTTGGAGCAGGAGGTCAAAGGTCTGGATGAACGAGTGTCAGAGATCCAGCAGGTGTTGGGGGACCTGAAGGTGCAGCTTTATGCAAAGTTTGGAAACAACATCAACCTGGAAGCAGACGAGAGCTAAACAGCCAAACAGGATCGGACTTTTTATTTTTCCAAAATGTGGACTTTTACATTTCCTTGATGCCAACACAGCCTGAACACGGATGTTTTTACGTTTGTTGGTTCTGGTTTCTGTTTACACTGGTGCATAAGTCTGTGCTTTGATTTGGAAAGCAAACTCGCAAGGAAAGCATCTGTAAAGATTTGGTTATTAAATTAATGAATGCAGATAAAATCACTGGTGTGTTTAAAGTTGTTGGCAGTTTTACTGTGTCCTAACGAGAACTGAAATAATCTAAAGCTTGGCTTTTGTATCCAACAGGAACAAAAACAATAAATGTGATCCATTGGTTTCATATCACCAAACTACAGTGAATGTCAGAGAGTGGATCTAACTTCTAAATGATCAAT